TCATCAGCATCATCAGCATCAGCATCAGCATCATCATCATCATCATCATCATCATCATCATCATCATCATCATCATCATCATCATCATCGTCATCATCATCATCGTCATCATCATCATCGTCATCATCACCAATTTTGAGGCCTCCCGAAAGAGTCCGAGTGAACGGGATCGGCTGAGCGCGGCGCATCGCCGATGCACCGGCGATGCATCGGCTACGCACTTCGAGGCCTCCCGAACGAGTCCGAGTTGACAGGCGGTGGAGCGCGCTGCATCGCAGGTGCATCGGCGATGCATCATCGGCGACGTCGGTGATGTCTCGGCGCCGACGCCGTGGAGAAGATCGGGCTTCACATCGAGCCGCATCGGCGAGGCGGCGCGATCCGCCGACGCCATGCTCCTGGGGGATTCGCTCAGGGGAGACGAAGTCCGGACGGAAGCAGCCCAGACGGAGGTTGAGCACTCCGTGGATTTCTTCCGCACGGACTTAGCATCCTATGAGGAGAGGACTAATCCGAACGGAGCATGGGGAAACAACAAAAAAAAACAGCTACCGCTACTCCCCGGACCCCTCCAGGCGTAAGGTGGTCCAGAGTGTGTCCACTGGGGAGGGGTTTACCCCTCCCCCTACGCACCCCCTCCCCTGGACATGGACGGGGGCCAGTCGCGAGCGGTCGGGCGTCGAAAACGGCCTCGGCGAGGAAGCCAGAATCATGGGTTTTACTCAGGCTTGGGCACCATTTTGACCTCCTGAGGGGGCAACCGTAATTGGGGGCCCCCCTTCTGGATCGATATCATCCAAGATGGCCCCAAGAAGCGCCCAGGATGCCCCAAGATGCCCCAAGATGGCCCCAAGATGGCCCCAAGAAAGGCCCCCACAAGGCCCCCAGGAGGCCCCCAAAGGGACCCCAAGCGGCCCCAAGGAGCCCCCCAGAGGCACCCAAGACGCCCAAGAGCTCCCCAGGACCGCCAAGAGACACCCAGACGTCCCAAGACGCCACCAAGAAGCGCCCAAGAGATATCTCAAGAGGCTCCGAGAGGCATCCAAGAGGCCTCTGGCTCTTTTGCTTGCCATCCTCCTCCTCCTGCTCCTCCTTCCTCCTCTTACTCCTTCTCTTCCTCTCCTCCTTCCCCTTCTCCTCCTCCTCCTCCTCCTCCTCCTCATCCTATTCATCCTCCTTCTCCCCACTCCCTCATCCATCCATCCAGCCTCCTTCTTCTCCTCCTTTGCACGATTCGGCCGTCCCCCTCTTTGCTTCCGCACTTCCCTGATCACCTCAACTCGCCTTGACATCGTCTCTGGATGGGCTGGTGGGGATACTTTTTTGGTTCGCGGCTCCAAGGCGGATGACAGGGAGCAAGCACAACGTCCGGGGCGCGTGACGATGTAAATTGGCCTCCGAGGCGACTGCACGTGCCAGGCTGGTGGGGATACGCGAAGCGTCTGGACAAGTCGATGCCAGTGCAGCGTTGGCGACGAGGGCCTCCCAGGAGGCCCCAAAAGGCCAAAATCAGGGGGAAAACAAACCTACCTTGCTTTTGACCACCCTCGCTTCCAAGGGATACCAAGCGATGCCAAACTACGGCCTGTACTGGTCAGGCCGCTTGACGAGGAGGCGCGTGGTATGACCTGGTTTTGCCTGGAAGCGAAAGCGGGGTAGGTAATTCACGCTCTGACAAATGCGGCACCGGTGCGCCCTCCTCCCCCGAGAGGCGAGCCCACACGGAGGTCGAGAGCATCCTCCGAGGGGACCCACTCCGCACGGACTTTGGCATCCTCCGAGCCCGGCCCTCGCCGCCACGGAGGCCTCCACGGAGGCCTCCCCGGCCCTGCCGACGTCCGCTGCTTCGACGCCTCCCGGCTTGGCGGTTACGAACTGGCCCTGGGCGTTTACGCCGTCGGACCCAGCACAGGAGAACCGAACGGGGCCTGGGACACACCAATAAATACACACAAAGAAAAGGATTCCCCACATATTCATATACATATATATATATATGTATATTTCTGGGCTGTTGTCTTCCCCCCCCACTTCCCAGATGTTCCCGCATTTCCTGGGAGTGGACGATTCATTGTGTCTGTGTGTGTTTTTCCCCCTCCTGAAGAACATCCTCCGAGAACACCAGACCCCCCGCCGGCCGCAACTGAGGAACACTCGAGGGTGCGGTGCCCTCCCCGAGAGGATGCACAAAAACGCCCCAACAAGCGCGAAACACACACTGGGCCATCCTCCCCAGACCGGCCTGGATCTCATACCTCGGGCCGACTGTCCTAAACAGCCCTGCCCTGTTCGCTTCTTTGCTGGGCCCTCGTCGGCCGCCGGCGATCCGAGGCTCCGCAACCGAGGTCGGGGGCCTTGGCGTCCCCGTCCTCCTCCTCCCTGTTGGGCGGGGTGCGGCCGTACTCGGAGTCGCTCTCCTCATGGCGGCGGCGGGGGTTGGGGGTGGAGCGGGGGGGGAGGGGGGAAGGGGGGGAGGGGGGGGAGGGAGAGGAGGACGCGGAGGGCGAGGCGAAGACGAAAACGAGGAGGAGGAGGCGAAGACGAGGAGGAGGACGAGGAGGAGCACGAGGAGCAGGAGGGGCAAGAGGAGGAAGAGGAGGTGTTGCAGTCGACCACCCCAACGCACACGCATTCACACACACACACAAACCAGGCCCGTCGTCAGCTGCTGCACGCTGGGACAGGCGAAAACAAAGTACACGCACACAGAATGGGAGCCCGTTGTGCTGTACAGCTGGCACACCACACGGGGCAGCAGAGCAGAGCACAGAGTGGCGAGGCAGCGTCCGAGGCAACAGCAGTTGAACGCAAAAAGAGCGCCGACCAACACAAGTGGACGCAAGGCCCAGCAAGAATGACGACGAGGGCACGGGCTGCTAAACTCTGAGCGCAAGCTGGGAGTGAGCCCGGGCAACCACCGCGGAACAGAGAACTTGAAGATCAGACCGCACTGAGACTGGCACTGCGCCGGCAATCGAGGACAACCCCGGTGGGGGGTCCGATGGCGCCGCAGGCGACACGGGCACAGAGATTGCACAAATTGCAGCATAGATCCCAGGAAACAAAAACGCATCACGTTCGAGACAACCCTCCACGGTGGCAACTACCACGAGGGACCGTTTGCGGGTCCTGCGGAGGGCGCCAAGGACGACGCGCTCTGGACACAACAGACGGGAATGTGTGTGTGTGTGTGTGCTGTGTGCTGTGTGCTGTGTGCTGGGTGCTGTGCGCCATGTGCAGTGTGCAGTGTGCTGTGTGCCGTGGTTGTGTGCCATGCGCCATGTGCCGCAAGCCGTGTGCCGTGTGTCGTCTGCCGTGTGCCGTATGCCGTGTGCGGTGTGCCGTGTGCCAAGCGCCGAGCGCCATTGGCCGTGTGCTGTGTGCCGTGTGTCGCGTGCTATATGCCGTGTACCGTGTGCCATAGGCCGTGTGCCGTGTACCGTGTGCCGTGTGCGTGTGTAGACTGCCGTGCGTGTGTGCGTATGCCTGTGCGTGCGCGTGTGCGTGTGCGTGTGCGAGTGCCTGTGCGCATGCGTGCGTGTGCGCGTGCTGTCGCGTGCGCGCGTGCGCGTGACCAGGCGCACGTGTCCGCGTGTGCGCGTGCGCGCGTGTGCGCGTGTGCGCGTGTGCGCGAGTAGGCGTGTGCGCGTGCGCGCGTGCGCGCGTTCGCGCGTGCGCCTGTGCGCCTGTGCGCCTGTGCGCCTGTGCGCCTGTGCCCGTGTTTGCGCGTCTTTGCGCGTGTTTGCGCGTGCGTGCGCGTGCGCGTGCGCGTGCGCGTGCGCGTGCGGGTGTGGGTGTGGGTGTGGGTGTGGGTGTGGGTGTGGGTGTGGGTGTGGGTGTGGGTGTGGGTGTGGGTGTAGGAATAGGTGTGGGTGTGGGCACGTGTGTGTCTGTGTGTGTCTGTGCGCCTGTGTGTGTGCCTGTTTGCGTATCAGTGTGTGTGTGTGTGTGTTTGTGTGTGTGTGTTTGTGTGCGTGTGTGTGCGCGTGTGTGCGCGCGTGCGTGTGTGCGACTGTGCGCGTGTGCGCGTGTACGTGTGCAGGTGTGTGCGTGGGTGCGTGGGCGGGTGGGTGGGTGAGTGCGTGTGCGCGTGCGTGCGTGCGTGCGTGCGGTGTGTGCGTGTGTGCGTGTGTGCGTGTGCGCGTGTGTGCTGCGTGGCGTGCGTGCGCGCGTGTGCGTTGCGTGTGTGCGTGTGCGTGTGCGTGTGCGTGTGGCGTTGTGCGTGTGCTGTGCGTGGTGCGTGTGCGTGTGCGTGTGCGTGGGTTGTGCGTGTGCGTATGCGTGTGCGTGTGCTGTGCGTGTGCGTGTGCGTGTGCGCGTGCATGTGTGTGTGTGTGTGCGTAGTGTGCGCGGGCGTGCGTGCGTGTTGTGTGTGTTGGGTTGTGTTGTTTTGGTTGTGTGGTGTGTTTGTGGCGTTGTTGTTGTGTGTGCGTTGTGTGTGTGCTTGCGTGGCGTGCGTGCGAGAGTGCGGCGCGTGTGTGTGTGGTGGGTGCGTGTGTTTGTGTGTCTCGTTCGTGCGTGCGTGCGTGCCGTGCTTGCGTGCTATTTTTGGCGCGCTGGCGCGGGGCGCGTAGCGTGCGTGCGTGCGTGGGCGTGCGTGCTGTGTGTGTGTTTGTGTGTGCGTGTGCGTGTGCTGTGCTGTTCGTGTGCGTGTGCGCGTGCGTGTGCGTGTGCTTGTGCGCGTGCGTGTGTGTGTGTGTGTGCGTTTGTGCGTGCGTGTGCGTGTGCGTGTGTCGTGTGTGCGTGTGCGTGTGCGTGTGTTGCGTATGTGCGCGTTGGCGCCGCGTGTGCGTGTGTGTGTGTGTGTGTGTCTGTGTCTGTGTCTGTGTCTGTGTCTGTGCCTGTGTCCGTGTATGTGTCTGTGTCTGTGTCTGTGCCTGCGTCTGTGTATGTGTCTGTGTCTGCGTCTGAGTGTGCGTGTGCGTGTGCAGGTGCGTGCGTGTGCGCGTGCGCGTGCGTGTGCGTTCGCGCGTGCGTGCGCACGTGCGCGCGAGCGCGTGCGCGTGCGCGTGCGCGTGCGCGTGCGCGTGTGCGTGCGCGCGTGCGTGTGCGTGTGCGCGTGCGCGTGCGCGCGAGCGCGTGCGCGTGCGCGTGCGCGTGCACGCGCGGCGCGCGGCGCGCGCGTGCGTGCGTGTGTTGCGTGCGTTGCGTGTGTTGCGTGTGTTGCGTGCGTTGCGTGCGTTGCGTGTGTTGCGTGTGTTGCGCGTGTTGCGTGTGTTGCGTGTGTTGCGTGCGTTGCGTGTGTGTACGTGTATGTGTGTGTGCGTGTGTGTGTGTGTGTGCGTGTGTGTGTGTGTGCTCGCGTGCGTGCGTGCGTGCATGCGCGCGTGCGTGCGTGCGTGTTTGTGTGTGTGGGGGGGATGTATTCGCGGGGAGAGTGTGTGTGTGTGTGTGCGTGCGTGTGCGCGTGCGTGTGTCGTAGCGCGTGCGTGCGCGCGTGCGTGCGCGTGTGTTGCGTGCGGGGCGTGCGTGCGTGCGTGCGTGCGTTCGTGCGTGCGTTTGTGTGTGGGCTGGCGGGTGGGTGGGTGGGTGGATGGGTGGGGATGGGTGCGCGGGTGGATGGGTGTGTGGGTGGGTGGGTGCGTGTATTCGTGCGGGTGCGTGCGCGCGTTTCAGTGCGCGTGCGCGTGCGCGTGCGCGTGCTCGTGCGCGTGCGCGTGCGCGTGCGCGTCCGCGCGCGCGTGCGCCTGCGCGTGCGCCTTCGCCTGCGCGTGCGCGCGCGCGCGTAAGTGTGCGCGCGCGTGCGCGTGCGCGCATGCGTGCGCGCGCGCGTGCGCGTGCGAGTGCGCGTGCGCGTGCGCGTGTGCGTGTGCGCGTGCGCGTGCGTGTGCTGATGCGTGTGCGCGGGCGCGGGCGCGTGCTCGCGCGCGTGCGCGTGCACGTGAGCGCGCGCGTGCGCGTGCGCGTGCGCGTGCGCGTGTGCGCGTGCGTGTGCGTGTGCGTGTGCGGGTGCGCGCGCGTTTGCGTGTGCGTGTGCGTGTGCGTACGCGTGCGCGCGCGCGTGCGCGTGCGCGTGCGCGTGCGCGCGTGCGTGTGCGTGTGCGTGTGCGCGTGCGTGTGCGTGTGCGTGCGCGTGCGCGTGTGCGTGCGCGTGCGCGTGCGCGTGCGCGTGCGCGTGTGCGTGCGCGTGCGCGCGCGCGTGCGCGTGCGCGTGCGCGTGCGCTTGCGTCTGCGCGCGCGCGTGCGCGCGTGTGCGCAGTTGGCGCACCGACCCCGCAGGACCGGCAGAGGACGCCGCGCCCCTTGCACCCCCCCTTCGGCAAGGGGCCTCGGCCCCTCGCGGAGGCACGCCGCGGCCCCCCGCCCCCCGCGGCCGCCCCTCCGCGCCCCGCGCTCTGCGCCCCCAGCCAAATCGGTCGGCAGCCTGTGGTGCGCCGCGCGCCGGGTGCACCACCTGCCCACGGCGACCCCGCCCGCGCCTGTGCTGCGGCTCCGGGGCAACGTCAGTCGGCGGCGAGCCCAGGGGGAAAGTGCGACTGCGCGTAAGAGTGACCCTTCGCCGGAGTGGCCTTCAGTGCGGGCTCACCGCGGTCCCCCCGTCGCCGAGCGCGATGCGATAGCGGCTGCTTGCGCGCTTGGATTTCGCTCACCTGCGCCCCCCGAGTCCGCGCACGAAGGGTCACTCTTGCCTAGGGTCACTCTTGCGTGTAAGCCCTAGGATGGTCTGCAGTCGACCCGTATCATCAGGACGCACGATAAGGGTGCAAGGGCAAGGGCCTTGGAAGGCCGTTTCGAAGCTTTTCATGCGGGGCGCGGCCAGCGAAAGCGGCCCAGGATGGGCCGAGGAGGGTAAGGGTGCAAGGCTACCCTTGGGAAGGTTGCCCATCCTTAGTATACGGGTTGACTGCGCGAACGGGACAGGCAGGGGCCGCCGCAGGAGACGCCACAGGAGCAACCCCCCCCGCCGCCCGCCGCGCGCCGGCGCCCCCGCTCGGGGGCGCAGGGCACGCCGCTGGCGCGCCCTCGGCCTCGCTGCAGCGCGCGCCCCGACCATCGAGGCCCATCGAGGCCCCTCGAGTTAGGTCGGGTATGTCCCCCCTACAAGCGGATTCTGGGCAACAGAAATCGAAAGTAGTCGAAAAATCGTCCCCGCACTGTTTTTTTTTTATTATGTTCTTGAAAATGTTCCTCCTGTAGAGGGACACGTCCGACTCTAAGTCCATCGAGGCCCCTCGAGGTCCCCCGAGGGCCCCTCGAGGGCAGCCGCGGGCGCGCTCTCGCGAGCTGCAGCCGAGGCCCCCGAGCCCGGGCCGGGCTGGAGGGATGGCCCTCTGGGCCGGCGGTGCCGCTCCCTGCGCCGCTCACCTTGTCGCGCCGCTCCGGGGCAGCGGCGGCGCGCAGGACCAGGGCGCGCTGCCGAGAGAGGGGCCCGCGACCCGGGGGGAGGAGGAGGAGGAGGAGGAGGAGGAGGAGGAGGAGGAGGAGGAGGAGGAGGAGGAGGAGGAGGAGAGAGGAGGAGGAGGAGGAGGAGGAGGAAGGGGGAGGCACAGGAGCAGAGGAAGAGGTTTAGGGGGAGAGTAGGAGGAGGAGGATGAGAGGAGGAGGAGGGGAGGGAGGAGAGGGGGGAGGAGCAGGAGGAGGAGGAGGACGAGGAGGGGGAGAAGGAGGAGGAGGAGGAGGGGGAGGAGGGGGAGGAGGTAGGAGGAGGTAGGAGGAAATAAAAGTCGTGCGGGTGGTAAGTCGGCCATACAGGTCGGTCGGTCGGTGGTGAAGAAAAGGCCCGAAAGGGGGGAGTGCAGGAGCCAGAAAGGTCGGGCGGGTGGTAGCAGGGCTGGGCCTCACGGTTGTTTCTGTGCTTTGTGTTCGTTTTGCTTGATTGTGTTTTGCTCTACCTGTTTTCCTGTACCTCCCTCCCAAAACGAAAAACAAAACACCGCCGAAGTCCAGCAAAACAGCGTTTAGGTCCAGCCCTGGGTGGTACGTCGGCCATACAGGTCGGCTGGTCAAAGGTGAAGAAAAGGCCCTGAAGGGGCTCTTGCGGGCCCCTTTTGGAGCCAACAGGGGTCCAATAGGGGCGCGAAAGGGCCCCTTTAGGGCCCACGCCTTCACCCCCCATACTTGGGCCGGCCCCCATCACCAACCCGCCCGAAAGGCAGTGGAGAGACGATCGCTCTCGCCAGCATCACGGCGGGACTGGGATACCCAGGGGAGGAGGAGGAGGAGGAGGGAGAGGCCATGGGGGACAGGGAGAGCAGGGGAGGGGCCCAGTCCAACCACGACCTACCTCAACAAGGGCGATGGTGAGCGAAAACGCACACACCCATACCCACAAAAGGGTCGGAGGGAGGAGGCCTGACTTTGGGTATGGCTGCGGGTGGTCCGACCCGGGGGGGGGATCCCATTCGAGCGGGGAGAACCACCGGACAAACAACCACAACTCCCTCCGTGCCCCCTATTGGTGATGTTGCATCTTCGAGGGACCTTGTCTGTCCCGTCGCGGCCCTATCCGCGTCGAATCCGTGTCGAATCCATGTCGGACTCGTCGAATCCGTGTCGAATCCGTGTCGAATCCGCGTCGAGTCCACGCCAAATCCGCGTCGAGTCCGCATCGAGCCCGCGTCGTGCCCAAGAGAAGACGCCACTGTTGGGGACACGCGAGGTCCCCCGAAGATGCAACGGAACGAGGCAAGCGCCACCCTCCTCGGCGAAGGAGTACACAGAGCTGCAGGTCTTGGGTAGGAAGGTGTCCGCCTCGTCGTCCACGGTCGTCGTGCTGCACGTGTCGCTGCCGCTGGCCGGCTGCCTCTCCCTGCCGTGCGCCTCGTAGTCCTCGGGCAAGCGAGGATGCCAAGGCCAGCGCGAGCGACGCCGACTAAGGGGAAAACGACGACGGCGACGACGACGACGTCGGGCGACAAAGATGACGGCAAGCGACGACGACACTGCTGCCGACGCCAGCGGACGACGACGACGACGACGACGACGACGACGACGACGACGACGACGACGACGACGACGACGACGACGACCACGACCACGACCACGACCACGACGACCGACGTACGACGACGTACGACGACGACGACGACGACGACGACGACGACGACGACCGACAACGACGACGACAACGACGACGACGACGACGACGACGACCACGACGACGACGACGACGGACGGACGGACGGACGGACGGACGGACGGACGACGACGGCGGGGAATTCCAGGCAAGCACGAGCGGCGAACCACTCCTTGAACATCGGAGATCGAGGTTCGGGCACTCTCCCAGGCACTGTGGGGTTCTGGGGAGCTCTGGGGGCTTCCAGGGACATCCCGAGAACCTTCCCATCATCCTCCCTCTCGCCTTCCCCACCTTCCCCGCTCTCCCCATCCTCCTCCTGCTTCCCCTCCCGACGGCGACGACGTCCACGTCCACCCTACTACTCCTCCCCCTCGCCCCCCCATGCGCCCCATCCTCCTTCTCCTATGTCCCTCCTCCTCCTCCTCGTCCTCCTTCTCCTCCTCCCCCTTCTCCTCCACATACATCTCTCCTCCTCCTCCTCCTCCTCCTCCTTCTCCTCATTATCCTCCTTCTCCTCTTCCTCCTCCTCCTCCTCCTCCTCCTCCTCCTCCTCCTCCTATATCCCTGCTCCTCCTCCTCCTCCTCCTCCTCCTCCTCCTCCTTTTCCTTCTCCTCCTCCGTGTTCCCCTCTTCCTCTTCCTCCAGGTTCGCATACTCCGACAACGACGACGACGACGACAACAACGGGCGACGACGCAGACTCCGAACGCGAAGTGCGACGGCGAAGATGCCGAGGATCGACGGGTGACAGCGACAGGGCGACAACGGCGACGAGGCCGGGCGACGACGGCGACGAGGCCTGGCGACGATGACGACGACGACGACGACGACGACGACGACGACGACGACGACGACGACGACGACGACGACGACGACGACGACGACGACGACGACGACGACTGCAGGCGGCAACGACGACGACGACGGCGACGACGACGACGGCGGCGGCGGCAGCAGTGGCGGCGGCGGCGGCGTGGGCGGCGGCGGCGGCGGGCGCGTGCGACGACGTCGGCGGGCGGCGACGGCGTCCTCGGGCTCGAAATTCCACGCCGGGGCAAGCATCGCGAGGCGCGCCAGCTTCTTGGCGCCCCGCGGGCTCCGCCGCGGGCTGCGCGGCTTGGGGCTCCTGGGCTCTCCCCGGCCAGGGGGGGCGGAGGGCCGCAGGCGGAGGCGCGCCGGCCGGCCGCGGGGGGGGGCAGCGGGGAGCATGGAGCGAAGCGGCAGGGGGAGGAGAAGGAGGAGGAGGAGGAGGAGGAGGAGGGGGGAAAGGAGAGGAGGAGGAGGAGGAGGAGGAGGAGAGGAGGAGGAGGAGGAGGAGGAGGAGGAGAGAGGAGGAGGAGGAGGAGGAGGAGGAGAGGAGAGGAGGAGGATGGGGGAGGGGAGGAGGAGGGGAGAGGAGGAGGAGGAGAAGGAGGAGGGAGGGAGGAGGAGGAGGAGAGAGAGGAGGAGGCGGAGGAGGAGGAGGAATGGAGGGAGGAGGAGGAGGAAGAGGAGGGAGGAACAGAGGAGGGACCAGGAGGGGGGGAAGAGGAGGGGAGGAGCACCGAGTGCAGCCAGCAGCGATCGAGGCGACAAACCGTGCGGCGGGCGCGCGGCCCCGCGGCCCGAGCGCCCGGAGCAGGCGGCGCTCCGCGGCGCGGCGGAGGGCGGGGTCGTAGGCGGCGATAGCCGGAGCCACCCCAGGAGGGAGGACCTCCTCCTCCTCCTCCTCCTCCTCCGCCTCCTCCTCCTCCTCCTCCCCTCTCCTCCTCCTCCGCCCTCTTTCCTCCTCTTCCTCCACGCCTCCGCCTCCCCTCCGCCTCCTACCTCCTCCTCCTCCTCCTCCTCCTCCTCCTCCTCCTCCTCCTCCCCCTCCTCTTCCTCCTCCTCAGGGGGCACCTGCCGTCGCTCGGACGTTCATTTCCCGTGCATCTGTTCGGTGTCGCGCGTGCTCTTGTTGCTCTTGTTGCTTGGTCCTCGAGGGTCCTCGCCGAGAGACACTGCACACGTCCGAGCGATGCCAGGGGCAGAGGAGCAGGGAGGTGCGCCCCCCCTCCCCCCCCCGACGGACCGAAGATGGCGCCAAGCGGGGACAGCCGACGAAGCACCCGGCAGCTGAGGCAAGCAAGTGGGGAGGTTGCGCGAGGAGAAGCACCTGCCCGCACCGGAGGCCCGTAGCACAGCACCAGCTGTTGAGGGCCAACGATAGGGGGGACTGGCACAGGGGGGGGGGGGGGGAACACTTATCGGCGATAGGTCGCCGATAGATCGGCGATAGGCCCACGATAGCGAGACGCACCTGCCTGGGCGGGGTGAGGCCCTCGAACCCCTATCGGCGATCAATGGGCGACTGGGGGGCGATGCATCCCCCCCCTGCCTATCCTCCCCTATGGTTGTCCCCGAGCTGCAGGGGAAAGGGGTAGCAAAGAGGAGCGATGATGACGGTGATGCTGCCAATGAGGTTAAGGTGTCAGCACGAAGCAGCACACGGACCGCTGCACCGCAGCAGCAGGAATAGCGAAGCACGAGAAATACAGCACGCGCAGGCATGATGTGCCATAGTATGGTGGGCGGCGAGACTCTCTCTCATAGGGGGTTGATATCCTGGGAGAGCACGGCAAACTCGCCTTGGGGCGACCGGTGGGATCTTCGACAGCACCAGGAGTGCCGTTGGTCCGTCATCGCGAACTTGCGGGTGTGGGTCGCAACCCCCAGCTTCCGAGCGATGTGCGCACAGCTGGGAAGCCGGGGCAGGAGAGCTCAGACTCGAATCGACAAGCCCCATCGGCGATCGAAGCGGATCAGATTGGCGGACATCGGTAGCCACATCGGAAGACATCACATCGGCTGAAGCCAGCAAGCCAACAAGGCCTCCATCGAGCCGAGAAAGTCGCATCCGAACCGGCACCGATCGACCTCGCATCGACTCGAATCGAGTGGGAGGGATCGAAGCGAGCCCCGTCGGGGTGATGATGATGATGATGATGATGATGATGATGATGATGATGACGATGACGATGACGATGACGATGACGATGACGATGACGATGATGATGCTGCTGCTGATGCTGATGATGACGGTGATGGTGGTGATGATGGTGATGATGATGATGATGATGATCATGATGATGAGTATGATGATGACGACGATAACGATGACGATGACGATGACGATGACGATGACGATGATGACGATGACGTTGATGATGATGACGATGATGATGATGATGATGACGATGATGATGATGATAATTATGATGACGATGATGATGATAATGATGATGAAGAGCCCGTCCGATCACGTCCGGAGACAGCACCGCGCGCGGCCTGGCAGAGCACCTGCGGCCGAAGGGCCCCCGGTGGCGACGGCCTCGGAGCGAGGCCCCCAGAGGCCTCCTCTCAGCCTGCGCACGGGGGGTCGCCTTTCGACGTCTGTGACGAAAGGAAGGGGCAGCAGCAAGAGGAAAGAGCTGGAAGGCCGCCACCCGCCGGCTCGAAGCCCCTTCCTCCTCCACCTCCTCCTCCTGCTCCCTCCTCCTTCTTCTCCTCACCCATTCTCCTTACCTTATCCCACTCCTCTTCCCCTCCTCCTCCTCCTCCTCCTTCTCCTCCTCCTCCTCCTCCTCCTCCTCCTCCTGATGATCATCACCATCATCACCATCATCAACATCAGCATCAGCAGCATCATCATCACCCCACCACCACCACCATCATCACCATCATTATCAGCATCATCATCATCAGCAGCATCAGCATCATCACCATCAGCATCATCATATTCATCATCAACAACATCATTATCATAATCATCCGCGTCAACCTCTTCATCAACATCATCACCCCGCCATCATCATCATCAGCAGCAGTAGCAGCAGCATCAGTATGGTCACCAGTACCATCATCAGCTTTGCCATCATCAGCATCATCATCAACATCATCATCATAATCATCCTCTTCATCCTCATCATAATCATCATTGTCAGCATCATCCTCCTCCTCGTCATCATCGCCAGCGACATCATCAATATCATCATGACCGCACCATCACCATCGTCAGCATCAGCATCGTCGTCACCATCGTCATGCCGATCATCAGCATCATCATCTGCATCATAACCATCATCAAAACAACATCTTCATCACAATCACCATCATCAGTAGCATCATCAACCACATCATCATCAGCATCAGCAGCAGCATCACTCCCATCAAGGATTCCCCAGATTCTTCCCCCATTTTCTGGGTCTTCGTCTGCCCCCCCACCTCCCATATTTTCCCATGCTTTTTCTGGGGAATCGAGGATTCATTGTGTCTGTGTGCTGTTTTCCCTCCTGACTGCCCCTCGCCCTCCGCCTCGGCCGGCCGCCACCCCTCGGTGCAGAAGGGGGGCCCGGACGGCCGGCAGACCGGCGAGCTCCCGCCTCCCGCTCGGACGGCGGGGCGGAGCTCGGCCGCTCCTCGGCCCGTGACGGGACGCACAGAAGCGCACTGATACTATGATACTCAAGGGGCCCAAAAACACACAAATGAATGAATACACACAAATAAAAGGATGCCCCATGTTTCCCCATATGTTCTGGGTCTTCGTCTTCCCCCCCACGTCCCATACTTTCCGATATTTTCCCGGGGATCGACGATTCATTGCGTCTGTGCGTTTCCTTCCCTCCCGACCCTCCTCGGCCCGTGATGGGACGCAAGGAGACGTACTAATACTAAATGTCCGCCTTGGAGGCGCGCGTCCGACCCTGGCCACACCGCTCGGGAAACGATACATGCTACAAGATGGGTATTGCTCACCTTGTAGTATAAATCGTTTCCCGAGCGGTGTGGCCAGAGAGCGCCCGCCACGGCGCATATGCTGTAAGAGTTCTCGGTGCGCACGTCGCCCCCGGAGGGGGCGACGCACACTCAGTATAACAGGGGGCAAACAAACCTACCTCGCTTTTGACCACCCTCGCTTCCAAGAGATACCGAGCGATGCCAAACTACGGCCTGTACTGGTCAGGCCGCTTGACGAGGAGGCGCGTGGCATGGCTTGGTTTTGCCTGGAAGCGAAAGCGAGGCAGGTCATTCACGCCGTGACGCCGACGTCATCGTCCCCTCCCTGCTCCGCCCCGCCGCCCTCCCCCGATCCGGAGAGCCCGCGCGCACGCTGCCACTGGTGTGCGAGCGACCGAGTGGCCGCGAGCTCCGGGATGAGGAAGGCAGGCGGTCGGGGACCTGCCGACCCGGGGCACTCCGGACCCGGGTCCGCCAGGCCCTGCAGGATCCCTGCAGAGTCCTGCAGGAACCAACGAACTTCGACAAGATTCTTCAAACAGGATCGAGGATGGGCTCTGGCCAAAGCTCTTGTCGTTGTCGGAGCAACGAGCCAGAGGCCGCATCCCTCCTGAATCAATACTTTCGCCTCGCGATTTGACCCTTCCCATGCCGTTCCACTCCTGCCGGATACCCTGCACACGAGCCCGGGTACCAGTGCGACCCTGGCCCCTGCAGGCTCCTATGCAGGAGCCCGCGCTCTGACGGACCCCCCTACACCCTGCGAAATGCTTAAGAAATCATGGGTTAAGAAATTCATAGTCTAAGAAGTTGAATAAAAACCCCAAAATTCTATTCAAGTCTTAGGATTTACATTGAAACATTAAGAATAATCGAGACGCTGGCCGAAAACTTGGGTTTTCTTAAGCATCGCCTAAGGTGTATACTGCAGCGACCCCCGGTGTCTCTCGAGCCCCGGGGCCGGAGGCTCGGGCAGGCTCCGGTGGAGCTGGGCTGCATGATCTCTCCGCCAGCCCCTGCGGCTCGGTGCGGGCGTCTCCCGTCTGCCCCGTCGCAGGGTCCCGGGCAGGAGGAGGAGGAGGAGGAGGAGGAGGAGGAGGAGGAGGAGGAGGAGGAGGAGGAGGGGGAGGAGGAGGAGGAGGATGAGGGGGAGGGGGAGGAGGAGGAGGAGGAGGAGGAGGAGGAGGAGGAGGAGGAGGAGGAGGAGGAGGTGTTGCTACCGTATCCCAACCTTTTTCCGTCCCTCGCGCCGCGGGTGCAAGAAGTGTGCCCCTGGCTCAGGTCGGGCATGTCCGCCTACAGGCGGACTTTGGGGCGGGAAAAAATACTCGAAACAGACCCCCAAATAGTCCAAACAGACTAAAAAGA